GGCGATGGATACGTGGAACGCCACGTGGCTTGTTTGACGGTGTGGCTTTCTCGAGGCCGGTGCCGGCTTGGCGAAAGAGAATCCTGCTTGAAACTCAGCAGGTTCAAAAACCCACCAACCGGACCTGGGAACCCACCAACCGGACCTGGTTCTTTGGAACTCAACACCAAAATCATCCAACATGGCCGGCTGATTCTTGGAAGATTCAGGTGCCCGGTGTTCCTGATGGCTCGTATGGCTCCATCCTACTCTTTGCAGACTCGAAGGCTTCACTGACGGAGTCTGGGGAGTGAGCCTTTACTTTCGGTCTACTTAGTCTATATACTGACTGGACTTTGACTTACTTGAGTCCATCTCTTGTGATCAAGACAGTTTTTTGTGACCAGTCGAGACCTGCACTTCTTCTCTGTGGCTTGGATGGTCAGGTGCCCAGCATCTTGACTCGTAACCTGCTGGAGGCGATACTTGCACGGCTGGTGTCACAGACCCTTGAAGACATGAAACAGCATTGTAAATCATGCAATTTCAGAGCCATCTTCTCGAGATCGACAGCCTTCCCATCTTCTGATAAAATCTTCTGGTTTTCGGAAGCATAGCCTCAAAGAAAACATCCCACAGTCTCGCAGCCCCTAGTCTTAGCCTACTTCAGCAAGCAATTCCATTCGATGTTGTCTCCAGACGTCCTTGCCTTGTCCAGGCTCTGGATGCCAGGTATCCTCAGGCTTCCAAAGCTGGGGTTTTAGTAAGCTGGCCATGTTTGTCTCTTCAAGAACTAGTAACAATGTTCGCTACTAGGGGCTCCTGGCATCGCTACTAGGAGCGATCGGACGCTACTAGGGGCTCCTGGCCGTACTACTAGGAGCATTCGTACTACTAGTAACAAGAACCAGTCCCGAGTCCTGACGCCTGGGTGTCTAAGACATTCCGACGGGCCAGGTGAAGCCTGTGGCCAGCGCCGCGCAGGTGCGCGTTCAGCTCGAAGCTGCGAGAGCGCAGAGATCAGACGAGTTGCACAACTTGAAACTGTGGTACAACGAGTTGGGCCAAAGGGGGGGGTTGGCCCCGCCGGCAACATGTATCCGATCCCTTGACTGGTCTTTCGGGGTGGGGAGGTGGCGGGGGTGGGGTCAGTTTCGTGCGTGTTACTACTCGCGTACATCGACTTTGACGTTGATTTGTCGACTCGGTGACCTTTAGTTCGCTTGGTGACCGCTTTTCTTGGCTTAGAGGACATGACGGGCTCGACGTTCGAGGTTTGTTTTAACACTGCGTAGAATGGGTCTTCTTGGCCGTTGCGATGCAAAGCTGCATTGACAGCACGTTGAAGGCCTCACAGGGTTGTGGTTCCGCCAACATCCAGGGTTGGACTCAATGCTCGAGGCTGTCGGAATACATAGAGAAGCTGTGCAAGACACTTGTCCGCCAGCTCATGTACAGTGAGCTCAATGGCTCAATTTGGCGGCTGGAAAATGAGCCTTGGCAAGCTGTACATGGAGCAGGCGGGTGGGTTGGGTCCGTCAAAACGCAATTCAACTTATCGTCTTGCAACTCACGAGTTGCAAGACGATAAGTTGAGTGTCCGGAAAGCCACGAAGCCCTGTAAAGCACAGCTTTTTTCACCCTCAGTGTGTTGCGTTCGGGGCTATCCCCCCGTGTACCCGAGTTGCATAAAGACTCATAATATACATTATAATGTAATTCATAATTCAAACCTCGTCCACTTCAACTCAAGCCAACGTGCTTGCCTTAACTCACACCACTGAAGCGGAGAAGGAGCGCAATGGAGGTTGATACAGCAGAGAAGATCACACAAATCTGCGAGCCATGGCAGTCTCCAGATTGGCTACTTGCCAAGATCTCTTGAGCTTCAGGGTTGATTGTGCAGGCCAAGCATGTCTTGGAAGACGTATGAAGACGTCAATCAAACCGAATCAAACCTTTGGCCCCGATGCAAGCTGCGGGCAAAGAGGTCCTGTCCACCCAGCGTGCCATTTGGTGGAGCCGGGCCGGGACTCATGTCCATGGCGGGGAGCTGTAAATTCCCTGAAGCTCCAGAAGACGATTGGCCACATCAATCTGTTCATTCCTTTGGCGAAGAGGGCTGACTAGCCCCTCCTGATCCAAAAGCTTTGATCAGCCTTGATGCGAATCGGATGATGAGTCTCACGTCCAGGTCATCAAGTCGATGCGGTGCATCTTTCCCATGTCAGTCCAGTCTTTGGTCTCCGATTGGAATCCCCAAGAAACGGCCGAAAGACCGGACGGGGGGCTTCCAACCCGCCCAACTTCGCAGTTAAACCATGTTAAGCCCACAGTGAAACCCATGGGTTAGCCAAGTGCTGCAAAGTCCACAAGATCCACAAGGGCTGCTGAAGAGTTCTCTTCTTGGACAAAGAAGGGTCTCACTTGATCCAAGAATTGCTGGACTTCAGAGAGGAATCTCACTTAACCGGACCGGATCAGTTCTGGCTGGACTCCGGGTCCTCATGGTGTCCCCCCCAAATTCCAACAGCTCGTGAGGATTCTGCGGATCCCAACAGCCTCCAAAACTGGGAGCCGCCGTGATGGACTTAGAACTGGGATCGATCGATGATCGATTGGAGGAGCTAAGGACATCATCGATTGGTGTGCATAGTGACTTATATACTTATTATATGGATTGTTGTAGAGCTGGGTAGTTTTTGCGGGTATCACATTGGTTTGCATAAAGAAGGACCCAATCTTCATTCTTTGTACTTGGAACTGTGCGACATCCTTGCACAAGTGGCGTAGTAGCAAGGTGTGAGCTCCGCGTGACACATCGATTTTTTCTGCAGGATGCACTTGAACATTGATTGCAGGCTCTTCCCAGATAATACAGTAGGTAATTTGCTGTACAAAGCATCTCTTTTCACTTTGCCTGAGGCGAGAAGGTCGACAGTTGCGCACGCGGGATCGCAGCGATGGTCATGGGTAATGACCTCAGTGAGCTACACCGGCTTTTTCACGACTGAGCCACACCGACTTCCCATGTTTTGGCGACGCAGCGACCCATGATTTGCCCTGCCCCGGTTATGATTTTTATCGTGGGACAATTTGTTCTGATTAGGTGGATGAAGAGCGACCCAATATTTAGCACGCTCGAGGCGGGCAAAGGAGAAGTGCTGGCAAAGAAAGGTCATTGTTGCAGGATATATTATGTGAGACATTCTTTACGAGAATAATATATGATCTCAGTTTTTGGATTCTGCAAAGTATTCTGCAACTACCTGCCACTTGTGTTGTATGATGCATATACTAGTACGGGATATGTGCATACATGTGCTACGTATGTGCCAAGGACAGGCATGGCAGCTTGAAGGTTTCACGTTTCCACATGGACGATGTTCGTTCTTTGCTGGCTTGCAGCAGCTTGCAGGGTCTGGGTCTTGCAGAGGCAACAGTCGAGTACTGCACTTAGATGCACTTAGTGCTTTGGCATCGGTTGGTTGACCGGTCTTCGAATGTTTCTTCATCAGTTCCTCAGGTTCAAGAAACGGCCCTTCGGTGTGAAGAGGTGAGGACCTCGGCATTTCTACGCGTGTTCGACCAGCCTCAGTGGGCATTCCATGTTCCAACTCAAAGGGCACCTCTTAGCAACGGAACGGGTTGGAATGGAAGATGGAAGGCGGCTGCGAACGGGTCTTTCTGGATCCCGCAGTGTTGACCTTCCGGCTGAGCATGTATCGATTCGGTTTGGCATGGTTTGGCTGAGCATGTCTGCGACTTGAGCATGTCTGCGAGGTACACACCTGGATATCAAGGCAAAGGTGCCATGGTCATAGATATGCAGGCTCGACCTCACGGTCCGGTCCGAGGGTCACTATTGACTGACTCCAATGGCTGCAAAACGGCGACTGAGTCGCTTGCTGTAGGAGTGCTTTGCAAGAGAAACAGTTCCATTTACTTTCTGAACGGTCAGTGGTGGAAATTCCAGCCGTCCTGACACAACTGGTTGAGCCTAGCTGATTTGATCGGACCTCGATGCAGCGAAGATACAGTTGCATCAGTTGCTGAATACAGACCAGGGGACTCGCTGTCAGGAGAAGGGCCGCTACCCAGGGGATGCCATGGGGCAATCTGCAGTGGGTGGAGTCAGGAGATCTATATAGATTTGAGTTCTGAACATCATTAGGTTGGAGGCCACTGCTACTTGTATTAGGTTGGAGGCCATCACTTCTGCCTCGAGCCTTCACGGTGTCATGATGTCACTGTGAGGACGGGGATGGTGGTGAAGACCGTCGCAGGCGCGTGGTGTGAGGAGTTTGGACTTGAAATCCTGCGGAATCTGGTCGACAACGGAAGCAAATTCAGTGGGAGGCGTGGATTGACCAACACGTTTTGCCAGAGCTCTAGCTGTAGCTGACCGGCAGGGAAGGATGTGAGCCAGTGGGACTTTGAGGACGCTCTTTGCTGCCGGATACATTCGGTGTTGGAACTGCCAATCACAAACAGGTCACACACAGTTCCTTGGTTCATGCAAAAGCCTACCCTTGGTCATTTCTGCGACGAAGGATCACACAAAAGTGAAAACAACATCCGAGATCATCCGAGTAAAAGACATACATTCGCCAGAAGTCTGTTAAAGAACCGTACAATCAGATTTTCTCAACGCTGCACAGCTTTCAGTCAAGAGGCGATTTTGGTCTGTCAAGACACCTCTATCACTTGGTCAAGTAACTTCCGAGGACATCATGGACCTCCTGAACGACCAAGGCATGGCCTTTTTATCGATTTCCTTCCATGCATTGAATCCGTAACCATACCCAATCAGACGGGACAAAAAGAAGGACAAGAGAACAAAGCAGGTGACGAGTCAGATGACCCACTGTAGCAAAACATAGCAAAACATATCAAAAAAACCTTGTGCAAGAGGAAACCCGAGCAGGGGTGCTTGCATCCGCTTGCAGGTGTGCTTGTTTTGACACCTATCGAAAGCTATTTTTTTGTAAGCAAACAAAACTGACGCAGCCGGAGGTATCATGGACCCGGATTCCAAATCAGCAGCCTCGTGGGGTGATGCAACAAAGGGTCAGCAGCGGCAGCCTGTTGAGGAGGTGGGGCAGCCATGGTGAAACATGGTGAAACAAAACAGGGGACACAACAGGGGACAATAATTAGCAGACAATAGCAGACACGTGGTCAGCATCGGAATGCTTCCGTGAGGACATGCTGTGGTCCATCCTCTTCTTTAGATTCTTTAGTGGTTTGGCATGGCTTTAAGATGCGGATAAACGTGATCTTGTCATGAAAGTAACACCGCAGCAAAGGACAAAGTTCTGGGTTCTAGACTGGCTGTCCCGATCTGCCCAGGCAGCGTTGCCGGTCACGATAGAGTATGGCATCCCAACAGCAGGCATTGCCTGCAATGTGAACGTGCTTTGGAATAACTTGACGTTCAGTCTTGAGAACTGCATAGAACATCATAGAACTTCTAGTTGTGGGGATGGTGTTAGGCTGTTATCAGTTGTCAACAATAACGACAAAAGGCTTGGGTTTCGATGACGAAGCCGATCAGCACACTCCGATGACATCAGTTGGATTGATTGTAAGCTGGTCCGAAACGCATCGTCGCAGGAGCTGGTTCCAGTGAGGCTCCCTTGTGCGTGGACGGTATGCCACGACAAGCGTCCTGACAGCAGGAGTTTCAAAAGACTTGGAAGACGCTCACGTTGTAAGATGCTATAAGTTATTGCAACACAAAAAGGATCAAACAGGCCACATCAGGGCAACCATTCGGACACCTGCTTCCCCCTACCTTGACCTGTTTCCAGACCGGACCTCGGATCCGCTCGGGCGATGCGGCATAGCCGATCAAACCAGGACCAATCGACTTGGAGCCTTGGACCATTGACCGGACCCAGGATGGTGTGGTGGGGCTGGCGTTTGCTGATCGCCTCGAGCCTGCCTTGCGCTTGAGTGTGGTGAAGATGGGCCCCAGCTTGGAGGAAGGGCGTTGTTGGGTTCGTTGGCTGCTGAACATGAAGGATGGCATGTCGATGAAATCTCAAGCTTGAAGCTTTAGGAAGACTTTGGAACTGAGACTGCATGAGAACTCTACGGCATGATGGGGTTCTCGAGATCTACAGATCCGACCTGCAGGTTGGAAAGGCCGGACCAAACCCCGAGGGTGGCTTCCTGGTGGACATGATTCGTGTGCAGGGCAAGGTGCGGGATGCCTCTGACGATATGCTCAGTGTGGTTCCAGGGTCTGGGCTATGCTTTACTGTTCCCTGCCCCCCAAAGCAAAACACATGGAATGCCCAAAGCGGAGTCTCTCACACAGGATGGCCTTCCAACAAAAGTGATCAAAACTGCTTGAAGCCGTGGACATCGTCAACCCGACGGTGGTTTGAGCATCAGGAGATGCCAGCTGCTAGTGCACTGAAGGGAGCTGCCAAGGCAGCAGGACTCAGTAGCATGAAAGGACTGCCGCACTGGCATTGGCATTGAAGGTTGCATTGACATGGATCAGAAGATGAACTTTGATGGCAAACGTGCGCTGTAGGAAGTGGTACCAATGACATCAAATGAGTATGGCCGGAATAGTCCTGGACCTACTCAAGACTCAAAACTCGTGCAATTTAGATTTCCCCGATTTGCCTGGCTTCCCCTATTTCGACCTCTTGATTTCTCGTCCATTGACAGGAATTTGCTTGGGCCTCCGGCGACCAAGTGGCGGAGCTGAAGATGCTGCTTCCTGGGCCGTCTTTCCACTGGCTGGGGTTTCGAAGACAGGCTGCATTCTTTGGACGATCTTCGAAGGATCTTCGAAGCTACGAAGCGAATCTAGAATGGTCAAATGAATCTTTTAAGCATTCTTCGGAGACGAAAAGCGGGCACAAGGTTGGAATAAATGCGGTGCATTTGTGAGCTGTCTTCTCTCATCTCCTCTCCATTCTTGTGTTTTTTTTCTCAATGGAAACACTGTAGGCTAAGCAGCAGCAGTGTTTCATTTCATTTCTCGACAGGTGGTCTTGTCTTCCGATCTAAAGGCCCATCGGCAGAGGGCTTGGGTCCGGACGATACTATCCGAGAGGCCTGGAGAGAGTGGACGGGCTAGGCTGTGGGCTGTTGGCGGATGGAGCTCTTAGATATGAAAGGTTCACGTATCGAGTTCACTTCCTCCTTCGTTCCTTTGGCCAGGTTCAATTCTTCGCCCCAGGCCCCGGGGCATCATCGACAGTGCAGGCAGGGGTGTTGTACCAGTTAGAAGTGCAACAGTGTGCGACATGGGTCGCTTAAGGGCTTCAGGTCAGTTCATGACACATTGAAATCCTCGACATCTTGACTTGTGGCTGACCTTTGGTCTTGGGGCAGGAGCTAACCGGCCGCTTTGCTGGCAAAGCCCTTCCACTGGCCCTGTTGACGACTGAGGAGGCAGCAATGGCAGCAGCGACCTTGGTGACAAGTCTTCGTACATCAGACAGGTTACGTAACAAACACAGTCCAGAGATGTCCAGAGTCCAGATACCCATTCTGAAGACACAGCAAAAAGGACCGTGAAACAGTGAAGCACCACATGAATGGATTTTAATGATTTTAACTTTTGGTTCATTGACAGCATTGAAATGCGGTGTGCCGAGGCACCTGGATCACTACCTTTGGTCGGTCCTGCTTTGATTGGGAACGCCGGGGCAGGCACCACCATCCACCGCCAGGCGGTGGCAGTGGTGGCCTCTTAGTGCTGAAAATGGGCTTGGATTCTGGCGGAAAAGAGGTCTCTTAGGTCTTCCAAACGGACTCTTCTCAATAGAAAAGGGTCATCAAAGTCCAAGTCTGGCACGAATCTGAAGCTTGAGCCAATGGACCGCAGCTTTCGAGCACTATCCATTGATTCATGCGCCGACTTGTTTTAGCTTGTGCACAACAAAGGAACCATGAGTCATGAGCCCAATGCTGTGTGTGAAAGCAGCACGCAACCAGCAAGTCGGTGCTGTTTTCTCGATTTATCCTAGGACGTTGACAAACTCTTGGCATGCCTCGGGGTCGGGGTGCATGGGATCTTGCATACCTGCCTTAGTTGATTGTCCAGCCAAGGCACAGTGATTTTCTCTTATATAAAAGTATTGATCCCGATGCAAAACTATCTTCCCTTGCCTTGAAGGATGCATTTGTATATCGATTCGAACTCTTTTATTGCTCTCACCATCCTTGACGACTCTGTCAATGCCGCCACGTGGTTCATTTTGAATTTTGAAGGAGTCGTTCATGGTGACTGAGCTTGGACAAACGTTTCGCGCGAAAACATCCTCCAATTGGGCTGCTCAGGGCTAGACAATGGTATGACAACGGTAAGTGTGTTTATCATATAACTACTTTATATACATGATTTTACATGAATGGTCAATGGTAAAACATCAACCATATTGACATTGCAATACATTGCAATGTGAATGGGCCAAACCTCAGAATCCAAGCAATTCAACGAACGGTTAGTATTTGTGTCAAAAGACCACCGTTTGGGCAGGTGTCTGATGTGCTGAAGTCTGTGATGATGGGTGATCACTTCTTTTTTGATGGGGGTAGGTAAGAAATGATTCCCGGCGAAATGTCAACGGGTGGAATCCTTTTCCTGGAATCATGTCCTTAAGAATCTGCTTTTGTCCCTCCTGTCTTGAACCTATTCGCTATTTAAAGGCCTGGCAGACCTGGAAGTAGACTCCGACCCACAGACATCACCCCGTCCGGGAGTGGACACATTTTCTGGAAAGGGAGCCGGAAGACGATCTTCGTCTACAGGTCTTTATCGGGATATCTGGGCCTGCTTCGATGTGACCCGGTCACGGACTGTAAGAGTTCCAAGTTATGAGGAACCATGTTTCTTGTGCCGTTTGCCATCGGGCCTCCGTTCCAATCTCAAAGTATGAGCCAAACCGAGCCAATTCCATCATGCTGGCCATCCATGGGCAATGGCCACCTAGCCCAAAAGCAGGACTGTCCTGGCAACATGTGGTAAAACCATGAGGCATTTCATGAAAACGATACGTAGTTCGTCCTCATCTAGGCCTTGTTCTTCATTGTAGCGTGCCTTTTGAGCGCTCAAAACGGCTTTTGGACTTTTCTCGTTTCCTGAACGTCGTCAGACTGGACCTTATCAACTGCTAAGAGCCTGTTTTTCATTGCTTTCGCACTGCTGAGGAGCTCAAGAGCTGCGAGCCAGCAGCTCCACTAGAACAGGACAAGCGAAGCGAAGGGGTGAGGAGGGTAACCCTTCCAAATTCTTCCAATGTTCACCAGACCAGGGAGGGACAGGACATGACAGGACATTGTCTTCTGAAGCTATGCAAAGTGCTGCCCTTTTTGGGCCTAATGAGGGCACATTCTGAAGTTGGTCTGAAGGCCTGCAACAGTCCACAACACACTCATGGCAGGACGTGGGCATCGAATGACTGGCTGGTGCTCCATCCATTCAGGTGGGCTTGTGAGTCAGGCAGCACAGAGAGCTTTGCATGAGTTATCATGAGTTGGTTTGTGATTTGTTGCCTTGGGCAGTTGCCCGACCAGCAGCAGCTGTTGCAGCCACAATTTCCGTAAGGACGCCGCTTTCAGTTGACTGCGATGGAGTGAGTAATTACAGCTATTTGGACCAGTGTCATAGGCTATCGCAGTGTGACACTGCGACACTTCATGTCGGGGGCCGAACAACCTGACATTGTGTTGCTTACTGCGATGGCAGGAGAGCTGGAAGACTTTCGGTCCTGGGCTGAGTTGTTTGAATACATAGGCAGGTATGTGAAAGCTAGTGGGAAGTCAAGAATCTCAAAATAGGTGAGAATCCGACGCACGTGGGTAGCACTCTACATTGAAAGATTTCCTCGCGTCTTGGAGGTGTCGACACAGGTGCGAAAGCGTTCAGATGAAGGATCCTCAAAAAAGAAAGTCGTTTGCCTGGCACCTCTGGCGGAAGAAGCCATGATTTCGTTCCTGGGCAGACAAGTCGTGTGTCAAGCAGTGCTTATAGAGGAAAGAACTGGGAGAGACTCGAACATTGAACATCTCTGAGGCTAAGACAGCCTGGGCCTCCACCATTTCGGAAGGCCTTACTTGAAGCCTTCAAGAAAGAAATTCAGAGCTTCCACCCGGATGTCCACAAAGGCGAGGATGACTTGCCAGCCAACAAATCGAGAACTCACCGATTCCTAGCTGGCCTCTCAGGCGATCGCCAGCTCCTGGTGGAGCGCTTGCGCAACTGCCGCTTGGGCAAGGATGCAAGATCCTTCAATCTTGAGGCGGAGCAAGCGCAGCAGGTGACCAAGGCCAAGTTGGGTCACATCAGCCGCATCCTCTTGGTCAAACACGATGTCACATGTGATGGCTTAATTAATTGTTCTAAACTTTTCTAAATTCTATACATAGCAGTTGCACAAGCGCATCAAGCGAGTTGCTGTGAATTCTTTTAAGGTTGTGATTTGTGCAGAAATGAGAAGGTTCTGGGTCGATTCTTCAACGCTCTTTTTTTGTGTATTCCGTATTCGAGCACCAGTTGTGAGTCGGATTGATTTGGTTATTTTCGGACTATTTGCAGACCACTTCGTATTCTTTTGCCGTCCAAACCCGTGGGACGCATCTCAGCCAGGCCTATGTGCAAAAGCTCTGGACCTTGGCGGCCGACAAGGGCTTGGCAGTGGACAGCGACGGTGTGAAAATGCGAAGCGCAGCAGTCACTCGAAGGGCAGTCAGGGAACGTGTCGGTCACACATGCACATCAAAACTATGCAAGTCCCATGCTTTATTGATTTATTTTCAGAGCACACACACAAACACACTGGTGTTTTTTGATGCTTTGCAAGACTTGCAATCTATGACTTACAGTGCCCCAAATACGCACTTCATCGCCGACCAATAATCGGGCTCCCCAACTAAGACTATTGATGAGTGTGTGCAGTTGCTGCCGGTTGAAGCATTCTTGGGGATATCGCTATTGTACCTTCACTGTGGGCGGATTTGGCAATTTTATCCGGGCATTGGGAAAAGATATTCCCAAGTGTCAGTTCTTGCCTTTGATAACCGCGTAATACACTTGCAGTGAACCTTACAAATCAATGGTTCAAACACGGCTGAACGTCATGTGGTCCTGCTTCATTCAACTTAGGCTCATCTTGCTCGGTGTTTTCTGGAAGAGGACAGCCGTTGGTTGGAATCAGTGCATTCAGATTGGACATCTCGATGTTTGGGTGGAGCTTTTGGCGGGCATTGCAATGACACGACAATGCATGCACGACCTCATAAACAGAAGGCGCGACTAGATGCGGTAGCTTCCCGGAAAGTATTTCCTGCACATTGTAGACCCCCAAGAGGCAACTGAGCCTCAAGAGACGATCACAGAGAACCTCAGTACGTTGGCAGCATTCAGTCCTTCTTAGTTGCAACAAGTCGCTGTCATTGCTTTTCATCGTTATTTTTGAGAAAGCTGTCTCCCTGCTTTGGCGCAAGCCTTGCGCAAGCCTGGGTCACAGCAAAGGTCCAGAGACAGCTGGCTGGAAGGCATTGGCTACGTGGCTGAGCGAGCGTGCGCTGGAACGGGAACCCGGTTCACAACTAAAGGCTGGGACGAGCGGCTACATCTTCAAGATTCCTTTTTCCTTCGACTTGAATCCAATGACGGGCCTTTTGTCCTTTGACTTCGCTGAGCTTTTGTGTGGCCGGTGACTTCGGTAGTCGCAACGGGTATCGCCACGGAGGCCGATGACTTCCACGAGGACGTGTCCCCCTTTTGGCGGAAGCAGCTGGAGCGTGTGAATCGACCCGAGGTGGGAGGGTTTTGGGACTGAGACGTGACTGCAGGAGACTGGGACTGAGACTGCAGGCCTTAAGAATTGGATGTCAGCCTACCACGTGCTGGCGATCAGCCTACCATGGGTTTGAGATGTTTAAGGTGTTTGTTATAATGTAGACTCTTGACTAAGAAACCCCAGAATTGAATGCACGCACATGCGAGTCCGGGCGCGTCCACAGTGTGTATAGGTGGCTCTGTGAAACTCTCATGATAGGTGACAAACAGGCCAACTTTGATCAACTTTGTACACGAACGAAAGAGCATGTGGGCGACATAGAAAACCGAACTGGTTGGCTCGTGGCGGTCCCTTCAGAGAGTTAATTCATGTTAATTCAAGGTACATTGAATGCGACTAATTTGGTCAGGATGGACAATGGTGTCAAAATTGTTCTTTCTACGTTGGGCGTACCTCACTTGGTTGATGAATTTGTCCTGCTTGGAAGCTGAGACTCCTTACCAATCCGGCCATGGCGGTGGACATCTGTATTGAATTGAGGGTTATGAGGCATGGTCAGTAAAAAGATTCCTTATGTAAGCATAATATGTCGCTGATCCATTTGGCAATTCGGCCAACACGAAAGTCCGCCCTCATGGTCACAAGAAAATCCAAGGCAAATCAGACTGCTAGATCCTTGTTTGCGATAAGATGATATTAATTTTTGGGCCGAAAACTATGTATATGCTGGACAATCCAGCGGACACTTTCTGCCACAAGGAGGGAGCACTTGTACCTTAGGATCGTCGACAGGGCACGCCCTCCACGTAGAGTTTTCACGTATCTTTACAGGTAAACAGCGACCATGAACGAAATAGCCAGGTCCACCCAAGAGATACCACTGTCACCGACAATGCGTGGTGTATTTGTCTGTGGCCACTTAAGGAGTGCAGAGAATTGCCAATATGGCC